TATTGTTACTCTCATTTTCCGGTGTATGTTTAGTGTTTGTTTGTTTGTTATTAAAGCATCAATAAAAATTATAAATATTTTTACAAGATGAGCTTTTAAATGTATTTACATATAGCTATTATAAATTATAGAATGGTTTTTTGATGACGATTTTTTTCAATTCATTTAAAACAATATAGCAGCTACTTATGGTAATTTTTAAAAATACAATATAGTTTGATACAGCTACTTTAATTTATATTCATGAGATGAGCTTTAAATTCATGTGTATATAATTATAATAATAACACATTAACTAACATTGTTGATTAGAATTTTTTTTCTCCTAGAGCTGAGCTTTTCAGTCAGCGCCGACAACAGGATGCTGCGTGCTCATTGGACACTTGCTCATGAATAATAATGAGACACTGATAATCTTTACTGAAACTCTGTCAGCTACTGTAATTAATATTCACAAGATGAGCTTTCCAAAATCATTTACACCTTAAAATATAATTATTCCACATGAGGTGGTTATTAATTAGCAAATAATATAAATATTACGAGTGTAAACATTAGGTGAGCAGGTCACATTGTAACCCCATGACCTAACAACAAGCTACATGACACAGTGATGAGCAATTCGGCTGTTTGCACCAGACGCAACACGACAGAAATGTAAATACAGCCATCCAGAAGCACACAATAGTGCACTCACTGCACTCCAGCCAAATGCTAAGCTTTATAATCAAATTAATACATATTAAACCTCTTTAACATGATTAAATGTAGATGCTGAATCACTGATATGTGTTGGTTTGCACGGAGTCTCAGTTCTAAAGTTCAATCTCACTGCTTTTATTTACAACATGACTTAAATCAGCCTTTACGCTTGATAACAAGGCTCGATTGTGGTGGTGTTGTCAATCTGGCAACCTTCTCTTGCATGTGTTTTGAATCAGGCATGCAATACCTAGCTCAACCACTGGGTGTCAATCTTACATACTGCACCTTTAATACACTAAGAACATTTTTCATCATGACAAGAATCCACCATGTTAACAGCGTTAAGTGCTAACGTTTGCACAACATTTAAGAAACGTAACTATCCCAGAAATCAGCAGCAGCTCTGTTTACTCGCCTGGGTATACTTATTGAAGTGCTGCCGTCTCCATGGCGACCGTTGGGTGCAGAGACAGAGCTTTTAATTGTTTATTAAATGCCAATTAGTGTCAATAATGCTGTATAAAGAGGAGAGACTGGAGCCTGCAACATATCTGACCAGAAGAGGGAAATAATAATCATCACAGACAGATCAGCATCTCAGATAAACAGGGTTTAGCTTTAATACGCTGCTTTAAATATCTTTAATGACGCTCACTGAAATTGTACATGCTAAAATGTCATTATTTTGCATGAAATATGAATGGAAAACACCTTTAAAGCACATATTAAAATCATTTGTCGTCACTGGCTTGCTTGGCTGCTCATGGATTGATTTGCTCTTCAGTGTTTCAGCAGTGAATATTAAACCACACTGAACTGAACTAGGCATCACGGTGACACAATGGGTAGCACGATCGCCTCACAGCAAGAAGGTCGCTGGTTCGAGCCTCGGCTGGGTCAGTTGCCATTTTTATGTGGAGTGTGAATCTCGTGAGATTCCTCCGGGTGCTCCGGTTTCCCCCACAGTCCAAACACATGCGGTACAGGTGAATTGGGTAGACTAAATTGTCTGTAGTGTGTGTATGTGTGAACGATTGTGTATGGATGTTTCCCAGTAATGGGTTGTGACTGGAAGGGCATCTGCTGCCTAAAACATATGCTGGATAAGTTGGTGGTTCATTCCACTGTGGCGACCCCAGATTAATAAAGAGACTAAGCGGACAAGAAAATGAATGACTAAACTGAACTTCAACTCTGAAAATTGCACTGACACTGTTTCAATTCACTGTCATCTATGTGAAGCTGCTTTAACACAGTCTACACTGTAAAAGCGCTAGAGAAATAAAGCTGAATATTTATTAGACCTCAGATATTCTTATTAAGATTAAAAAATACAAACCAATGCATCAAATGTATTTGCAGTAACTAATGCATCTGAACTAATGAACATTTTTGCGTATCTATATAATTGTTTAATAATCATAACATCCTGTAATATTCTGTTTAAAGTATTAAATAATTAAATAATGTTAATGCAACTGTCAAAATGTACATTTTTATATTACATTTGTATATATATATATACACACACACACACACACACACACACACACACACACACACACATGTACATATAATAATATAATAGATATAATATTATGAAAATATACTATTAAAAAATAACTTCATTCATTTTCTTGTCGGCTTAGTCCCTTTAATAATCTGGGGTCGCCACATCGGAATGAACCGCCAACCTATCCAGCACGTTTTTATGCAGCGGATGCCCTTCCAGCCGCAACCCATCTCTGGGAAACCATTCACACACACATTCATACACTACAAACAATTTAGCCTA